TTGGGAGGCTGAGGCAGCAGGATTGCTTGAGCTCAGGAGTGTGAGGTTGCTGTGAGCTAGGCTGACACCACGGCACTCACTCTAGCCTGGGCAACAAAGCGAGACTCTGTCTCAAAAATAAATAAATAAATAACTGCTAAAACAAAATTAGCATTCAACATGCTCAATATTCTCTTTAAGATTTTGATAAGACCAAGAGTCTCAAACCATAATATTCAAAATATCCAGAGTACAGTCTAAAATTACTCAGCATACAGAGAACTCTCCTGGGGAAAGACTGCAACTCTAAGATGACAGAGGTGTTGAAATTTTAAAACAAAGACTAAGGTACAACTATGCTGGAAGAAGAAAGAGAGAATGCTTTTGAAACAAATGGAAAGATATAAAGTCTTGGCAAGGAGACAGAAGGTACATAGAATCAAACAGAAAATAGCTATAACTAAAATTAAAGGTCACTTGATGGGTTTAATTACAGCACAGAGATGGCAGAGGAAAGAGTGAGTTTGAAGATAGATCAATATAAATTATACAATCTGAACAAAAGAGAGCAAAGGATTAAAAAAAGAAGTCAGGGCACAGTGGCTCACCCCTGTAATACTAGCACTCTGGGAAGCTGAGGCAGGAGGATTGCTTGAGCTCAGGAGTTCAAGACCAGCTTGAGCAAGAGTGAGACCCATCTCTATTAAAAATAGAAAAGAGCATGGTGGCAGGTGCCTGTAGTCCCAGCTACTTGGTAGGCTGAGGCAGGAGGATCACTTGAGTCCAGGAGTTTGAGGTTGCAGTGAGCTATGGTGATGCCACTGTACTGTACTCGGGTGACAGCAAGACTGTATTGGAGAGAGGGAAAGAAAGAGAAAGAAAGAAAATAAAATTTAAAAACCAGCCTTAGGATACCTTTGGGACAGGACTAGTGATTCATGTCAACAGAGTCACAAAAGAGGAGAAACAGTGTAGAGCAGAAAACATACTTGAAGAAATCATGGCTAAAAAATTTCCAAATTTGGCAAAAGACAAACAGATTCAAGAAGTTTGGTGAACAGCAAACAAGATGTGTTCAAAGAGATCCATGTCCAGACACATCATAATCAAATTGCTAAAAATTAAAGACAAAGAAAGATGCCCTAACAGCATCCAGAATATTTCATACAGGGCAACAATGACTCCAGTGACTACAGATTTCTCACTGGAAACTATGGAAGTCAGCAAGAATTAGAATGGCACTTTTAAAAGATTGAAAGGAAATAACTGTCAACTCAAAATTCTATTACTATATCCAGTGAAAACATCACTCAGAAATGAATGTGAGGCCGGCGCGGTGGCTCACGCCTGTAATCCTAGCTCTCTGGGAGGCCGAGGGCGGGTGGAATCGTTTGAGCTCAGAGTTCGAAACCCAACCTGAGCAGAAGTGAAGACCGTGTTCGATAAATAGAAAGAATTAATGGCACTATAATTCATAGAAATAAATTAGCCGCATGGTGGCGCATGACCTGTACCCGCTACTTGGTGAGGCTGAGGCAGCAGGATCGCTAGCCCAGGAGTTTGAGGTGCGTGAGCTAGGCTGGACGCCACGGCACTCACTCTAGCCGGGCAACAACAGTAGACCTATCTTAAAAAAAAAGGAATGTGAAATAAAGACATTCTCCATGTGAAGGAAAGTAAAGAATTTTTTCATTTTTTTTTTCTTAACCAGCAAGCTGTTCCAAAAAGCTAAAGGGAAGTTTAACAGAAGGAATGACAAACCGAGAGGAAACTTCCAACATCAAAATGAAGAAGAGCGGGCGCGTTTCCTGGGTCCACCCTGTAATCCTAGCCTCGGAGCGCCGAGTGTGCGGATTGCTCCAAGGTCAGGAGTTCAAAAACAGCCGAAACGAGTGAGACCCTGCTCTACTGCAATACTAAAGAATTAATTGCCAACTGATATATATATAAAATTAGCCGGGCATGGTGGCGCATGCCTGTAGTCCCCAGCTACCAGGAGGCTGAGGCAGCAGAAGTCACTTGAGCCCAGGAGTTTAGAGGTTGCGTGAGCTAGGCTGAACGCCACAGCACTCTATCCAAGGCAAGAGAGTGAAACACCTGTTAAGAAAGAAAAGGGAAGAGAAGGGAAGGGAACCGCAAGGCAGGAAGGGGTAGGGGAAGAGCGGAAAGGGAAGAGGGGGAAAGGGAAGGAAACTAGATTAGCAATATATATACATCCCACAACTATAAAAAGTCTTAGAAATAGAATAAACGTACGCTAGAAAATCTGAGTTCCTGAGTTAGGTAAAAGAGTTCCTTCGATATGGCATCCGGAAGCACTGTACTCATAAAGAAAAAAGTGGTAAGCTGAACTTCATCAAAACTCAAAACTTTTGCTCTGAGGAAGACGACATTAAGAGGAAGAAAGGACAGACTACAGAATGGGAGAAAATATATGCAAATCTAACAAAGGATTTCTAACCAGAATATATTAATATTCAAAACTCAAAACCGTTAATTCCGTTTTTAAAAATGAGCAAAATACTTAAACTGTACTTCATCAAAGAGAGTATAATGATGGCAAATAAGCACATGAAAATGTCAAATGGCCCGGTGGGGCTCACCCTGTAATCCTAGGCATCTGGGAGCCAGAGGGAATGGACGTGCTTAAAGTCAGGAGTTCGAAACTAGCCTGAGCAAGAGCGAGACCCTATCTCTACTAAAAATACAAAGAAATTAATTGGACAACTAAAAATATATAGAAAAACTTAGCTGGGCATGGTGGTGCATACCTGTAGTCCCAGCTACTTGGGAGGCTAAGACCAGGAGATCACTTTGAGCCAGGAGTTGGAGTTGCTGTGAGCTAGGCTGAAGCCACGGCACTCTAGCCCACGGCAACAAAGTGAGACTCTGTCTCAAAAAAAAAAAAAAAAAAAAAAAAAAGATGCTCAGTATCATTAGCCATTAGGGAAATGCAAAAACACAATGAAATATCTGAATGGAAAAACACACACACCTATCAGAACAGCTAAAATAAAAACTGACAATAGCAACTGCTGGCAAGGGTGCACAGTAACTGGGACTCTTACACTACTGGTGTACAAGCAAAATGGTATAGCTACTCTGGAAAAGTCTGGCATTTTCTTATAAAGTTAAACGTGCTGGACGTCTGTGATATGAGTTAAAGAAAAAAACAAAACAAAAAAACCCATGCTGGGCCAGGCGAGGTGGCTCACACCTGTAATCCTAGCACTCTGGGAGGCCGAGGTGGGTGGATTGCTCAAAGTCAGGAGTTCAAAACCAGCCTGAGCAAGAGTGAGACCCCGTCTCTACTATAAATAGAAAGAAATTAATTGGCCAAGTAATACATATAGAAAAAATTAGCC